AAAACTTTGAATATTTCAAAAGAACTTTTCAAGAGAAATTTCATAATTTATAATAAGCCAAAATCATCCATCGGAACGACTCCCTCCAAATATCTTGACAATACCAACAAATTCTTGCAGATCAATTTGACAAATTCTATTTGAGACGAAGATCTAAATATAGATTTAAAAAAAAAATTTCGAAAAAATACATCATATATATAATTTCAGAATAATCAATTATAGAATAATAGATATTGAATTATAGCTCATATTTTCCTATAATAAAGATATTTCAAACGAATTATAAAATATATTTCACGACATTTATTTTATAAATATAATTCTAAAAATTATGCTTTAAACCCTAAACCCTATTCTATATTTTTTTCATATTTATCTATTTATTTAATAGCTTAAGAAAATATAAACTATTTTAGAATTCATCGGAAATTTCATGAATATAATTGAAATTATCTAGAATGATGAATTTATTGTAAATATATTATCTAATTTTAATTTTAATAAGATATATAAATAGAATTATAATTATATTCCAGCATTTATTGATATTAATTATATATTTCATTTTATTAATTGATCGGATTTGATAATAAAAAGAATATATTTAGATATATTTTAGCACTATATTTATCTTTTATTATAATCGAAATACCATCGAAATTATCCAATTTTTATTTTAATTATCTTATTCGCGAATTTTTGAATAGATATTAATCTCATTAAAGAAAACAAAATTAAAATTAATTCCTCGAATTTTCTCGATTAAATATAGAGATAATTTCTATTAAATTTCGATGAAATCTCTTCGAATTAAATTCTATTATTTATTATATTCAATTCCATCCCGATCACCGAAATTAATCAGACTAGATACGTCGAAGCTGCCAAGAGTCCGACGAAGATATATTCGATGAAGATATTATACTCTCGGCGTGCTAAGTACCGGCCCCTAAATCTAAGCGGTCGGGCGGCGATTAAGACCCCTATTTCGCCATCCGACATATGCCTCTTGGTCCCCATACTACGACCATGCCGGCACAGATTGCGCTTTCAAGATCGATATGACCGATATCGTTATCGATAATCATTAAATACAAACCCCGCCCGTGCCCTTCGACGAATTCATCGACGACCTCATTAGCATAATCTTAAAATCGTTGAGGCCTCCATTCGCCGCTACCTCCTCGAGTGCCAAGATCTCGACGGACGATATAGAGGATAGTCGACGAATAAGCTCGATTCGACGGTCATATAGTTTTTTCTATTATAATATTTAAACCGTTATTGGGAGGTCGTTATTGAAAAGATCGTTATTAATATTCGGTGATAGATATTAAGAATATTAGAATTAATAAATATCGAGAAAATATTATGCCCGAAATATGGATATCTAGGTCGGGAATTATTACTTTATTTCGTGATAGACACGATTTTCGAGGTCTCTATTATTATTTTCTTCGTATCTCTCGACAATTATTGATGCCGTTATATATAATTCACTCGCTAATTTCTATTTCGATAGCGCTAGAGACTTCCGACGCAATAATTAATAAGATAATATCGATCTTTCTAGCCAAAAAACAAGGATATTAATACCAATCGCCTCGATAGCACCGATAACGAGTTCTCAGCGACCGAAGTTGCCGAAGGCATCGACAGATTATAGACGAAGCATATCTATTCGTCAACGCAACTTAACGTATCTAACTTCGCCCGATCCCCCCCTTCGACGAATAAAAGGCGATCTTTACGGAGATAGAAAAGAGTCGGCGAAAGCCGTGTAAAACCGCCGCTCGTAGACGAACGATTTTTACTCGAAATTAATTTAGGCAGAGATCGACGAAATCAATCGTAATTTTCCTAGCAACTACCACCACTACAATCGATCCATATACAGAACCGACGCCATCGCCGCCGAAAACGACTATCCCAACAACAACCGCCTCTTACACAATACCACTAGCCACACAACCCGGCCACCACCAACATATAAATACATTATACGAAGAATAACACCCCCAGAAAACGAAAGCTCCTCCGACAAACGAATATTCAATTCGATATTATACAATATAACGTCGAAAAAAACATTTATCTCAAACCCATCATCGCTCGAGACGAATACTACGAGCGACACCGACACCACTGCCCTAGACTATTACGTACATATACCCATAGACCCCTCTTCAGCATACACAAACCCGCACAAACAACGCAACACTCATAGATACAAACCAATACTCATACCCACACAAACACATACATACACAAACACATAGACAAACAGACCGACAGACATACAGGCAGACAATCACACAACGCCAGACAGACAGACAGACAGATAGGCAAGCAAACAAGCAGACAAGCAGACAGGCAGACAAATAGACAGGCAGACAAGCAAACAAGCAGGCAAGCAGACAGGCAAACAGACAGACAAGCAAACAGACAGACAGACAACAATCACACAGCGCAAGCAGACAGACAGACAAACAGACAGACTAATCAGACAGGCACAATCAGACAGACACACAGACAGACAGACAGACACACAGACAGACGGACACACAGACGGACAAACACACAGACGGACAAACACACAGACAGACAAACACACAGACAGACAAACACACAGACGGACAGACACCCAGACACACAGACAGGCAGACAGACAGACAGACAGACAAACACAGACAGACACACAGAGGTTCGGACGTATTTTGATGATCGTGTTGCAACGATGAAACCGGAGCTGGAAAACTGCGACACGACAGAATATGTGCTTTGACTGCATTGCTGTCCATGCTTTTTGATCTCACAGCTAAAACAGCTCCTGCTTGCCAAAAGCAAACATAGAGATAGACACATGGACACATAGGAGACACACATCGACACCTGCATTCAGAGACAACGGCACCGGAGCTCGTGCTACCAAGATCCTAATGCGTTTCCTGTTGAAAGTGTCTTGCGTGCCTATCTCGCGGCACTGAAATTTCGGCACTCAAAGCCTAATGCGCTTCCTCTTGCAAGCCTCTTGCGTGCTTTTCGAGCGGCCCTAAAATTCGGATGTGTGTCCTCTTCAAAACCTCTTTTTTTGGGACATACTCCCGGTACGAAAATTTCGGAGATTTTATGTGCGAGCATGCCTACCGAAAATTTCGGAAATCTTATTACCCCCCAAAGCTACCAAAATTCCGAAATTACCACGAGACAAGCACGCAAGAGGCTTTCAAAAAGAAGCGCGCCACGAGACGAGGTTACAGGGGCAAGGCGCGCACAAATAAACGGAGGCGACCAACACGACACCGTTTATTAGAGAATTAGTAATTTTTCAATCATATATGCTCTAACTTTTCTATATCACTGGTAATCCACTAAGTGTTAAAATTAGATTCTTTAATCTTTTTAGATTTATAAATTTCTATATTCGATCCTAACATAAAGATATTAGACTATTCCCGGAGATTTATATTCGAGAAGACAATATTTCCAATCAGAATAGATTCATTGAATTGAGGCATGAGTATTATCTTAAAATCTAAGATCCAACGTACAAACTCTCTTCATCACGAGAAATGAATCTGCAACGTCATTCTACCTTCCATCAAATCATAAACAAAATCTGTAAGTAATGAAAGCGACATATTATCAAGCAAGGCTGCGATCTTCAATAATGGGGTGGATGAATGCTGTGGCTGCACTGGTTGATGACGATTCTGCCACCTTTTATACTGGCCCCTTGGAGGGTTGAGGTGGGCCTCCAGGGCAAGGCTCCCCCCTCCCAAGCAGAGCAGCCTTCCTGGTTCATTAAGTAATAATAACAATAATAACAATAACAATAAAAATAATAATAACAATAACAATAATGATAATAATGATAATAAGGTCGGGGTGCGGGGGTCGCCCCCACTCCTTGCTCACGCTTAGACCCTTGGTGGATCAGGAGCTGGACCCCCTGAAATCTCGTTGGACCCAAATCCAACATGTAAGCAACAACTCCTGCAAGCTACCCGAGAGCAAGCTGTCGTAGTAGATCATTCGTCTTGAAGCAGTCAGACCATTGGCCTCTTCATGTATCATATCCCCAAAACAGAAACAAGAGTACTTTATGATGAGCATGTCCCGAAAATCTGCGGGCTTTCGTACGCAGGAACTTCTTTCCGAAACTGTAGAGCATGGCAACTCTCGAGGACTGCCTGCCAGCCAATGGTGTCCCGGCGACGACGGGACGGCCACATTACCGCAAACTTCTTTGGCACCTTCCTGCAACAGAGGTGCAAATTTCAATCCAAGCCGTCTACAACTTGCAATTCAGGAACTAGCATAACGTCTGGGAGGTGCAGATCATGTGTACAAGCACCGAGGTAAATTCTGCTATTGGGTCACTACACCTTTTCCGAGTGATCCGCACTAAGCCACTAAGCCACTCTGCTGACTATTCGCTTACTCAATACCAGACCCGTCTTGATTCGGCAATCCCGGCAGCACTACTTTTCTGAAGAGCCCCGCTCAAGGAGCATGCGAGCATCAAGCATCGCCAGCATCTTCAAGCATCTACGTGCCAAGGGTGGGCGACTGTTGCACCCACATGTGAACCACTACGTTGTGTGGTGATCTATGCTGGTCAAAAGGAACCGAAGAGTCGATAGGAGAAACAACCTTGACAGACTGCACAAGCCTGCGATTGGTCTTGCTGCTATGCGCGATGCAAGATAACGTAGCGACCACGTGTAGCAGCGCAAGCACTGGCCTGTGTCTAAATGCTGTCAAATCTGAGCAAAATTGGGGGTGAGTGCTCTTCAAAAAGCACACCGAGCTCGCAGCCAGGGAGGGCCATGCTGGTTGGGGTCCTACGAACAACACAGTGGTGGCGTCACGACCTTGGAACCGCTTCTGATGTAACAGAGGCTTTTAAGATCCCTAGGACAGCTGGCCAAACCCTGGCAGGCGCTAAAGATCTACTATCTTGCAGTCTTTGCAAGATGTCGTTTGCACCAAATTCAGCGAGGGGCCATGGTGACAGGTCCGAGCTCCATGGGATTCCCATGAAATAAGCTGTGCTCAAGTGAGCACCTGTTGTCATTCACCAGCAGCACCCTCTTGTTTGCAGTGCCACACTTGACCTTGTCTAGTCCCACGAACTGTGAACAATACAAAGGTCCACCCTGCCTCCGACGACATACTACTAGGGCCAACTCATCACACTGACTCGGTCCTTACACAAAGATAATCGACCCAAAGATAATCGAGCCAGAGTCACCCAAATGACCAAGAGGCCGAACTTTCCAAGGTCAGGATGTGCTCGAGCTGGGCCTCTGAAAGCTTCCGTGAAGATACCGTCGCGCATGTCGGCATACCGTAAAAGCTTAGCCCATACCTTCTGACACTTCTTCCGAACCGTGAAGGGTCCCGTCGACATCCCCATTGGTCTATATTTTGCGACGAAGGAAAAGTCTGGCGCCCTGCTCCAGTCAGTTCTGCTGCAGATGTTGATCGGGTTGGCGACAAGCTTCTGCCGAATGAGATTCAAATTGCCACCGACCGCTTTCTTGTTGTGGATGTGCGTGACAAAGCGAGTGCGATGGCCCTTGGCGTTTATGAGCAAGCAACAATTGAACCAGTCCGTAAACTGATGCTTGCAGTTGTCGCTTGCCACCTGCCATAAAGCGTTCTGCTTTTGACGCTGCGTCCGTTTCGCTGCGGTCGACAAATCTCGACCTATTTCTTCAACCTCGTGTGCAGTTCGGGGAACAACTCGTCTGATTCATACTCGGGACGTAAGAACGGCTTGAGGATTCGACAATGGGTTTTCTAAACGGCTTGGATTAGCCCATGCATCCGAGAGTCTCCCCGGATCGCATATTCGGGAATGGTCAGCCGGGCATTTTTGCTGGATCCCCCCACTCCTGGACGGCAGACTTTTACAGGCCCGAAGCTCGTGGTGGCTCTGGTCTCTGGTCTGTGAGCAGGGCGGGCATCGACGCACGACCGGTAGATGTCGCAAGCTTTGTTGCAATTCCAAGCATTCGCCTGAGATGTGCAGGGCAATAAAATGACATGGTATGCTACACGCAACAAGCAAAACCGCGAGGGACTAAGACAATAAGACCTGCTTCTGCGGGCAAGTGTCCGCGCTGCAGCGAATCGGGCAATTCGGAGGGCGACGGCCCCCGCCGGGTCGGACGGTTCCCTTGACTGTCCCGGGCTTCTTCGCCTGATCCAAAGTCGATTCGGGCAAATTCGTTCGTGTCCGTTGTTGCATATATTGTTACAGCTAAGGTAATGCTTGCTGACACCTCACCAATGGCAAACAAAGCCTTTGCAAAACCGCGTTGCGTTGGCATGTTTTCCAAGTGCTCCAGCGAACCCATACTCTACATGAGGCTCCGCCTTGAGTTGGCGCATTTACTGTGCCAGAAACCCAACAACTTTGCATAATACTATGTTGTTTGATGATGTTGTCTGAATGAGCGGTACGCGGAGCACGAATGATGCACTTATTGAGCATTTTTTACAAGATGTCACTGAGTTGCCATACTTTTGGCACTTCGGGAAGATGCTAAGCCATTTGAAATACCAAACACGTGCCAGCAAGTACTATCCTGACCTGATTCCCATGAACACTCTTATGAAACGAGGCTTGCTTATGCCAATCAGCACCAAAGTGATACTGCAACATGTCGGTCATAGACAGCGCAGCGACGCAGAACTGGCTTGAACACATATGATGTTTTTTGGTCGTTGTCTTATTGCTGCAACCGTAGTCTTCGCTGTTGTTTTTGTTGTTGCTGCTGCTGCTGCAGCACAAGCCTCTCGGCTCAGGCGAGGTCAGGCTAGTACAGTCCGCCTTTTCGTCGTTCGCCATGGCAACTTTTGTCAGAGCGTGAGCTGCTCCGGCCCCAAGCCCGGAGGCAAGCACGCGTCAGCAACAGAGCCTACTTGCTTCCAGAGGTGAGGGTTGTCGATTAGCGAAGTCGACAGGAGTTATGCTCAACATGAGCATGACGAAACAGCATCACGACTCAACCAGCAATCGGCCCAAGCACCCCAAAGGGGCAGGCAAAAGGTCCTACCAGAAGGCCTTGCGACAAGCGGAGAAGAACGGAACCGCCTTCTACAGAGGAAAAGTCTCACCTTTCAAGAGCTAGGAGGAACTCCGGCCACTTCCAAAACTGAGCCACCAAAAAGGTCAAAGCCTTCCAGAAGCCGAGAACATGAAGAAATCAGATATCTTTCCTGGAATGACGACCCCAGTTTGGGAAGAGCTACTCTCCCTACTAGAGACGGAGGCGTATTCGGACGTTAAAATAGTCGTAGATTGAGGCTCTCAAGCAAATCCTCACAATGTACGCAGATGACACCTTGCTTCGAATGCACTTCGATGATCTGCCTCAACTGCAGGAAGCGCTGTGGCTGTGTGACTCGTTCCTGGACCAGCTCACGGAGCTAGGCTTTAAGGTAAATCCTGAGAAGTCGGCTCTGCTTCTTCAGCTGCACGGCGGCTCAGCGCAGCAGATCAGGAACAGACTGATCCTAACCAAGAAAGGCGAAAAGTATGTGCAGTTGCCGTCAGGCCGACTCATTGCGCTAAGAACGCAGGTCCCGTATCTGGGGATAATCATCTCCTTATCACGATTATGAGATGCAGTCCCTGAGACATCGCCTGCAAGCCAGCAAAGCCGTAATGAAGGAAGTCGCACATGCGGTTCGCAACAGTCACGCTGTCACGGAGAGGCTCCGCATGTCTATATGGCGCATCACAGCCTGGGCGTCAGCCCTTTACGGCTTGCATGTTGTAGGACTCACGGAACAAGGCCTTGCGGCGCTAGAGTCCCACATGATACATCAGCTGCGCTTTGTTCTGAGGAGTTACTCCCAGAGCAAAAAGGGGATAAGGAGGCACTCCTCCCTTTTTACCTACCCAGAGCGCAAAGACCTGCTACCACAGCTTTCGGTCGCTGATCGGGGAAGCCCAGGCAGCCATGAACATCAGCATGTGTGCACGGAGTGCGGAGCGATTTTTATCGGCACAGGGGCTCTGCGTAGGCACTCGCAGAAGCATCACCCAGGAGTCAGGCTCTTTCCCAAAGGTCCCAAACTTGATCCTAAAAAGCACTCTAAGGCCGGGACGCCAGACTGTTTAGCCTGCGGTCGTGCCTTTAGAACGTAGTTCTTTCTCCATCGACACATAGAGATCTCAACCTGCCCGCGCATACATGCCCTCCTTCAGGAGGTTCAACAGGACAGTGTCTCGATGACTGAGCTGGGCAAGGTGCATGCGGACGTAAAGCAGGAATCTTTACAGGACCCTGCATCCGCAGCCTCTAATCCTGATCTACATGTCTGGCTTATGGAGAGCTGCGCGCTATGTGGACAGGCGTTAGCAGGTAACAAGGCCGTCAAGCAGCACCTAAATCGTCAGCACCCTGAGGTCATGAGCAGAGTTCAGCAAATCATCACACCACGCCTTCAGCAGCACAAAGTGATGATGAAAAAGGGGAGCACATGTCGTTACTGTCAAACCAAGGTAGATGCCCCGGGAAGGCACTCCGAACAATGCGTGCCCCTTCTGCAAACACATGTCCTCCAGGAGGCCCAGCGGCAGGGGCTAGACATGACCCCTCGCGCCTGTTAGGCCAAGCCTAAGAAGCCGTCTAAGCAAACCAAAGCTAAAGCCGCGCCTCAGGTGGGGCTGCAAGCTCCTGTCTTCGTCCTACATGGCTTCTTGCTTTTGGCAAACCGTCGAAATCATTGCTATGCAAACTCGGTGGTGCAAACTCTGCATTGGGTTGTTCCTACAGCTGAGCTGTCGCTCTTGCAAGACGGCAAAAGGGTGGAGGGGCCCCTTCCCAGGGACAAGGCAAAGGCAAGAACGGTGGTCAACGTCGTAAAGACGGAAGGCCAGCGGGCAGTGCGGAACAAGGAGATCTGGTGACCGCCATGGCGCGACTAGTCCATCGCCACGACGAGCAGTTGATGGCCTTGACAACAGATCTCGGCTACATCTCGTATGTGCGCACAGATGCTCACTCTGTCTTGCCAGAGCTCCACGAGGAGAGCAAGCGCCATCGGGCCATGCTGGCCCCGGCGGCTCCTCCACGCCACGCCATGACTCTCAAGTTCCTTCTAGAACTTAGAAGTCGCGTGTTGAAGGTAGGCCAGTCTGCAACAGTACAGCAGAAGATCAAGCACCTCACGAGCCAGGGGGAGTGGCCGTACTTTGAGTGGAGCCCAGACAGCCAGACCATGGTTGAAACTCTGGAAGATCCCCTGAGCACCTCCCAGCTCTTGGCTGGAATCGGTGACGTGATCGCCCGCCTCGAAGCTGACACCACGCAAGTGACCCTGTTCAAAGCCTCTCGCCCCATCACTGACAAGATGTCAGGTGGGCCTGTCCGTCTTCTGTTTCAGTTTCTTGTAAAATAGGGACAGCCGAACTGCTAGACTCGCTAAGCACTCTAGCTAATAATTCAGCTTTTCCCTCCTCAACGGGGCCTTTCAGAAACAGGGAACACAACCTTCTCCGCTGACAAAGCAGTTGCGCAGCATGCTCCGCTAAGCTCCGAAGCAGCATACACAATCTCCGGCCAGCCTCAGCAGTAGGCTGGTTGGGGGCATCAGTGAGACAACCTCACGCAAAAAGCCAGCCGTGTCAGAGCAAGGGCAGAGCGCCAAGAGTAGGGGTTCTCTCTCCTAGGTTGCCTAAAGGTGGTTCCGCAGCTAGGTGTTGTCTGAGTGCAGGTTGGCGAACCCTAATGCGAGGAGATACTCCCGCAGACATAGCAGGCGACCCAGCGCACCCACCTCTAATATAGCGTACAGCTCTGCTGCCCAGGTGCGACGAGCGAGGAGAAGCTCCCGCGAGGCAAGCTAGAGCACAGCAGAGCCTCAAAGTGTCAGTGCAGGAGCGTTTTTGCAGCGTCAGCAGTTTGCACTTCTGCAGCTCTGTAGTGCCTCTCAAGCCTTCTTGCAGAACTCGCTAGCAACATGGCGTACGTGCTGCACCCAACTCGACTGGTGGAGGTGCTGCTCCCTGTGTTTGCAGCTCTCTTCTACGAGACGGAGGTGGAAGCCGGAAGGGAGCTCCTTCATCACACAGGTGCAGATGCTCATACAGGGCAAGGCCGCGAAGATTAAGGCGCAGCTCATGATGCTGGCAGTGGAGGTACTCGCTGCCACAAAGGTCAAGCAACTTCACTCCAATTTGCAGCAACCTTCGCGGCTATGATGAATGGGCAGAGGTGCGCTACCAACACAGAGTAGCTCTCAGCCAAGTCGCCATGCTCTACTTCGCCATGGCCAAGCTAAGGGAAGGCACCGAACTCGGGTGGTCGCGCCTGTCTGGCTGCAGAGTCTGGCTTCCAATACGACGTCGAGGGTGCCACCCGGGAGACGCACATCATGACGCACGCGGAACATCTCCTCCCGACCAGCTTGCGTCATCAATTCGATGTCGACACAGAGCTCCTCCGCCAAAAATATTTTAGAGAGGACTTGGAGGTGAATGGGCTTCAGGTCAGAAACAGCCCTGGCAGTCATAGTCACAGCTTCTTAAGCACAGCGCTCTCTTCCTGTATGCATCTAACCACATAGGTAGTCTCGCTACGTCATGTCGCAGCAGGACGACACGTACAAAGCTGAATATGCCGAATATTCTGCTCGCCGCGCGGCAGAGGGGCTTCCCAAAGTCTCGTATCGAAATTACCTCCGTCAGTGGAAACGCTCTGAAGAGGGGCACGTGGGACGCGGAGAGCCTCGCCTTGACAAAGCAGGCAAAGGTGGAACGGGCGGAGTAACTCCCCCTCCACCCCCTTCTAAATGGTGGGAGGACGGAACAGAGGGTGGAGGAGCTCCCCCTGCTGTCAAGGCCAAGGGTGGAGAAACTCTCCCCGGAAGCCTCGACAGCTCTGGCTGCACACCGACAGGCTCTACAGGAAAGAGAGTCGGAGGCCGCTCAGACCTTGGCAAAAGCCGGATACCCAGAATTCCCTGACCATATTCCTTCATGTGGCGGGTCAATTTCGGAGGCCGCCTCTCAATTTCCTCAACCAGGAAGCTGATAGACGGACTTAGCAGCTGCCAGGAGCCGACAGAAGCCCTCGCCAGCGCGTTGATGACCTCATTCCTCAGGACGAGGAAGTGTCTCCATGGCGAGTTGAGAGAGGTTAAAGCCCTTGGTCGCGCGGCGAAACCCAGGACTCGATCCAACAACCTTGGTCGGAGGCATAACCTTTGCGCTCGACCTTTCCCAGGCCTTTGACACTCTTTCAAGGCAGGAAATTCTTGATCTGCTACAGGACCTGAGGGCTGACGCCTCCTGGTCCACCCTCATTCACGGTCTGCACGACTGCATTCACAGGGCAGCTGGGCAGATGTGGAAACGACAACTGGGATCAAATAAGGCCGCAAACTGGCCCCTACCCTGTTCGCAGTTCTGACTACACAAATTCGTCGTCATGTTTGGCCTCGAGGCGGTTCAAGGATACCTCACAGGATATGCTGATGACTTTACGGCCCACCGGGTCAACCGCTCCAGAGCAGATTAAAACCCGCTCATGAGCTTATCCAGAACTTACTGGATGCTGTCTCGGCGCTGAAGCCGCGAGTAAACCCGGCAAAGTGCTCTGTGCTCGTCAAGCTCTCAGGCATTGAGGCTCCCTCCGTCATGAACAAGCACAGCTGCTGGCTTCCTGATGCCACTGACTGGAGTACTTCGAAAACATTTGGAGGCTCGGCCCGAACCGCATCTTTCCTGCCTTTCACTTGGAGAGCAAAATCAAATACTTGGGCATTATGATTTCTGATTCCAATTTTGGAATTGCAAATTCTCAAACATCGAATTGCCGAGACCAACAAAAAGATCCAGCAGGATCGACGTTTTGTGAAAAATAGGGGGGTGGCCAGCCCCCTCAAAGTCTGGTTTACTACGGTCTGGGCTACCCTGGTAACGGGCCTCCCTGAAGTAGGTGTGATGCCTGAGTCCGCACGTCAGGCTGGTTTGCACACAAGGTACACTCCGTGTTCAAAAAAATCCTGCACATGTCTCACACATCCCAACAGCTGACCCGTTTTCAGTTCACAAAATTCAGGACCCGGTGCAAACGCTTATTGATCGCATGCATGCCGGGCTGCACAAACTGCAAAGCAGAGCCGCCAGGAGCGATCAGACTCCCTCTACTGGCCAAGGCCACTCGGATGTAACAGTCCTACCGCAGTCTAGAGGAGATCATGTCCGAGGCTCAGTCACAGTGCCGTCGGCCACACTAGAGTCGCAACAGAAAGAGCATCATTGCATGCACTACGCAGCTACCTTTGCCTCACAGCACGCTCTGCACACGCACGTTGCTAAAATGCACAGAGAAATGGTCCCAAGATTCGTGCCGTCAGAGTTTCGCAGAGAGCTGCATGCCAAAGATGGCATGCCCACGTGCACGGCATGCCACATGGAGTTTAAGCTGTGGAAGGGTCTACGGAACCATCTCTTGTCGGGCACCTGCCCGGAGCCCTCAACACTCAGGGACATCACGCAGTCAGCGGACCAACAGTCACATAACCATGAAATGCAAAAGCCTCAGCACCTGAAAAAACAGGTGCAGGGATCGCCACGCTCGGCACTCGGCACGGTGGCCTGCATCCAGACGCACGGCTTTTGCAGCACAGATGTGTTTTTGTGGCTTTTGGACGCCGGATCACGCAAAGGTGAAATCCCATATACGCCAGGCACATCCCAAGGACTGGCAATCAGACGGAGTCCCGGCCCTACGCATTTGCGCCGGCCAATCGGCGCAGATGATCAAGGGACACAAGTGTCCACACTGCGCCAGCCAGTGCATGTGCGTTGTTCTGTTCCAGATCTGCCCGTGCTGGCACCGAGTTCACAGCGAGACTCAAAGTAGGGGACACGGTCCATATCAAGCGTCAAATCTGGAGACTCGGTCTCTTCATGCCTTCTTCAAGAAACAGCCAAGCAGGGTCTTGAGCCGGTCCCCGACTCGGCGGGACCATCGCAGGCTCGCCCGGCTAACCCTATAGTGCAGACCTGGCGAAGCGAGTGGCCCAGCCCTAACACTGTGGCTATGTACCATGACAAACCACAGCAACACCTGCTATGTCAACTCGGTCCTGCATGCTCTTGCTGCCTTGGTAGATGAAGGGCGTAGCTTCCAAGAACTGTCTTTTTTGCTAGAGCAGTGCTTGAATCACGACAGCGACCTGAAGCCTCTGAACCCCATCAGCCTTTTTGCCCTGCGGTCGCTCCTTCCTAGATGGAGATTTGACGGCAGGCAGCAAGACGCGGCAGAGTTTTACATTGCCCTGACAGTTGACAGAGGCGGAGACCTGCAACCTGTGCCTTGGCACGGACGAGCAGACGGGCAGGCAGAAGAGGTTGACACCGGTGAATCGCCCTTGTTTCTTCCCATGGACCCAGGCAGCACCACGCTCCAACAGATAGTAGTTGCATTGCATGATAACACCTTCCAAAGAGGCCTCCTACGGGCCCCGCCGTTGCTAGCAGTGGTTGTTGGAAGGTGGTGGGGAGGAGCGAAAGTGCGGACGGCCATGGCCCTGCACCAAGCCCTTTCCCTTCCTGTCTGGACGGAAGGACAGAGCCGGGAGTGGCAGCAGTATCGCATAGTGTCTGGAGTATTGCATATTGGATCACGGATTCAGGAAGGGCATTACCGTTCGTTTTGGTTCAGCCCAGCCCCTGCCGCACAAACATGCAGGTCAGCGATGCGCTAACTCGACCACAGGCGGCTGGGCCCTCAGTCGGCCGGCAGATTAAGGAAGGCTCTTATTTCCTTCGTCTTAGCAAACAGTGAAGCCGACCAAACAAGAGTAGGTGCTGGCCGGCTTTTTGCAACTAAATTTGCACCGCTGCTGCGGGTGCCCGTGCGTGGGAAGGCCG